ACCATACTAGGAAACAGTCCATAGAAATCGTAAGGATACAAGCCACAAAGTTACAGTCACACAGTCACAAGTGGGAGGGGATGGGTGATCAGGAGTAATGAGATGATCAATAGTAATAGTAGTTAGTAGTACAGACTCTGTGAATAGTTGGACAGTGTTGAGGGAATTATTTATTTAGCAAGTGATGGCATTCAGGAAAAACCTGTTTTGTGTCTAGTTGTTCTGGTGTATACCTTCCTTCTCTCTTTATAAGGCAAGTACAAGCAGTCCTCGACTTACAACCACAACTGAGCCCCAAACTTCTGTGGCTGAGACATTATGTTAAGCGGGTTTCGCCTGGTTTTACGACCTTTCTTCTTGCCACAGCGGTTAAGGGAATCGCTGCACTTAAGCTGATAAGCTAGCAAACTCAGTTGTTCGGTGAATCTGGCTTCCCCACCGACTTTGCTCGACAGTGGTCGCAAAAGGGGATCACGTGACCCCATGGAACGCTGCCATGGTCATAAGTATGAATCCGTCGCCAAGTGTCTGGATTTGGATCACTTGATCACAAGATGCTGCAATGGTCGTTAAGTGGCTTTAAGTTGTGACTTTGAACGGTCACTAAACAAACTTGCAAATCAAGGACTAGCCGTATCATGCAAAAGACTGGTCAGGATTTTAATTTGGGCAACCTTCCCAATCTGATCTTCTCACCTCATCATCCAGATAGTTTTTCGTTCTTTAAGAAGCTCTATGTTTCCCATAGCATGTTGAGAATTAATGTTTTACTGGGTTGTAGTTTTTTTTTAAAAAAAAAATTATATTCCACCGGCCCCATCAAATAATACGCCGTGCAAAAAATAAGTTATGGCATTGAATTTGTGCAAGTCAGTCCACGTTACAGTGGGACAGACGATGGCCGCTGTGTTCCCTGTGGAAATCTGGACAGGAAAACTTAATTATTGCAATCGAATATGAAATAGGAAGAGGTTACGTGTTGGCCTCACTGAGCTATTTCTGAAACAACAAAAGCGGGATAGAAATAAATAAGTAGAACATTGAGAAGAGAGGGCCATTTTTCCACTTCAGAGACGTCACCTTTTCCAAAATCGAAGGAGAACTTGTCCTTTCGGTCCCGGCTGGAGTCAAACTTGGAGCCATCCAGAAGCCATCCGGTGTAGTGGACGGTCACTTTGTCCCCTATCATGGGGGATTCAGTGCCCGTCCCTTCTTTCTTGATCACCTGCCAAGGGAGAGAAGGAAGCGGACACGGCTTGAGGGCCCGTCCAAAAGCCCCGCTCTACCGGTGGCCAAAACCAAAGCCAAGCCAGGCAGCAGCTCCCTTTTTATGGTGTCAGGAGAGAGTCTGGCGCTCCCTGCTTAGTGGCCTTAGGTCGCAAAGCGAAAACTGGCTGGTCCGGAGCAGGAAGAGTGCCGAGGGCCACTTTCCTTCTGCCCAGGGAGAGAAAAGGGGGACGAGGTGGGGACTGAGGGGCCTGCCCCCCCTCACTGCCCTAAAGCCCCCCACAATTGCCCCACCGCCCCCATATTCCTCCCATTGTCCTTAATAGCACTCCCACCCCTAATAGCCCCCCTAATTGCACCCCAATATTCCTCCCATCATCCCTAATAGCCCAATTGCACCCCAATACTCTTCCCATTCTCCCTAATAGCCCCCCACCCCTAATAGCCCCCTCATTGCACCCCAATACTCCATCCCGCCCCAATAGCCCCAAACCATCCCTAATAGCCCTCATTGCACCC